CCTTATGTCCTCAGCCTATCCCGTGGCTCCCCGTGCTTGCCTTCTGGCGGGACCCAATCACAGTACGGCACGTTTGCCTGATTCCCTTTATAAGCAGCTGCAGTTTAGTCCTCGGGGCCCCTCACCTCCCGCTCTCCCTTAATCAAGAGGCGCTCCAATAAAGTGTGTTCTGAGAAGGATCCTAGCATGGTGGTCGTTCTTCCTCACTGGCCGAGGAGCGCGCCGCAATAACACAAACTTAGAAGGGTTGATTTCTCTGACTTCGGGGCCTCCATGCTTGCTGTCTCTTACATGAACCAATTCATAGTAAAGAAAAGCTCTCTAAGATATTAGATGCCTCAACTCCTGTATTACAGGAGTTAATGCTTTCAAGAAAAACTTTCACATTTGCTTTTCTTTAAATGCATCACTGTTCTATCTGTTTTTTGTTCCTATTTCCCATTGTTTCCAGGTCATTAAGAGTTTCTTTCCATGTTCTCACATTCTCTAATTTATCTCTTTCTGTTTAGATCAATGTTTCCTGTAGCTTAGACTTGCCTCACCCCATGTAGTTGAGCCTTTTCTGAATACCTAATCCTACTTCTGCTGCCCAATGCTGGAACGATAGTCCTACAACTACTTCAAGGCTGAGCCTTAACTGGTGAGTCAGATGGAAAAATAGACCAGTTATTGAGTGTCCTCCATATTCTCTGGATTTTACTGCAAACTTGTAAATGAATAGGGACCTGTGTAAGAATTGGGTTCACTGACCAACTCTAAAGGAGGTTAGTCACAGAAAAGAAAGGGATGAGCAAGAAGGAGCATGAGAGCTCTCCTCCTTTGACTAGCTCACATTAGAAATAAGAAGTGAGGTTACCAACTTTAGATGATCAATAAATGTCCTGACTGGCCATCTTGGGTCCACAGACCAGGGAATCAAGAATCTGGATAAAACACTGAACTTAACCATGAAACCAAATTATAGTAGTTAACACTAATTCAAGCAAAAAAAGAACTGGATAAAATGGTGTGGCTTCTCCTAAAAGACCTGTTATTTTACAGGTTTAAGATGTACAGCCTGAGAGAAATGTGTGACTAATACTTGATGTGCTGTATCACAAATCCCTAGTCTTTGGAGCACGTGGCCTTGAAGTCTATTTCTACTTCTTGAAATAATTTTTGGGGATTATAATTACATCGTTTCCATTATCTCTTTCCTGCCTCTAAGCCTTCCATAGACACTTCATTGTTTTCTAATTCATGGCCTCTTTTTGCTTTAAGAACAGTTACTGTTTGAATGTGACCTAGCAATCAGGAGCTCCAGTGGGAGGTCAATTGTGGGGTTTTTCTAGCATTTTCCTCTAATGTAAGTATAGGAAGCAGCGAGGGAGACCATAAGCAATGCCAGGGTGAGTGGGGGCACATGGCCTTGCACTCAAGGAGATTGTTCGCTGAGCTGTCTGTCATCTGGGAGTTGGATAGACCATGAGACAGTCTGGTTCTGTTGGTGGATGTGTTGACCCAGGCAGTGGCCCTTCTCCTCTAACCCGCCCTTTCTATACATTCCCAAGGAATGGGGAGGCTCTGCAGGCCTGGCTAGGGAGATGTGGTGTGTATATTATCACTGTCCTGTGTCAACACTTTGGCATTTCTTTTGGTATGCAGTGGGAAGACAGATTGGAAAAATGAAGACATGGTTTGTAGAAATTCTTTTTTTTTTTTTTTTTTTTGTTTTTTCGAGACAGGGTTTCTCTGTATAGCATTGCGCCTTTCCTGGAACTCGCTTGGTAGCCCAGGCTGGCCTTGAACTCACAGAGATCCACCTGCCTCTGCCTCCCGAGTGCTGGGATTAAAGGCGTGCGCCACCACCGCCCGGCTGTTTGTAGAAATTCTTAACATTGAATTTCACAGTTTGTGTGGTAAGTTTTATAAATAGTTTAGAAAGTGGCAGAAAGGAGGTAATGGGGTCAACTTTCATATATTCTTTTTATTATTATTATTATTTTGTTTTTTGAGACAGGGTTTCTCTGTAGTTTTGTGCCTGTCCTGAATCTCGCTCTGTCGACCAGGCTGGCCTCCAACTCACAAAGACCCACTTGCCTCTGCCTCCCAAGTGCTGGCATTAAAGGGAAGTGCCACCGCTGCCTGGCTTTTTTCAGATATTCTTGATTAGAATCCTTTTAACTTTCCTTTACCACCAGCCACAATAGCAAGATTCAGAAAAATTCAATTCCAGGGAACAAAAGGAATTTCTGAGCTATAGAGGTTCCTTGGGTGACCATGGTGTTGAGCTGGTGGATAAGGCAGATTCCACATCTTGTACCGTAATCCATGTTGCAGGAAGCAGACATTATTCTTCAACATTGTTTTGTGTGGGGGTATCAGTCAGACTGGGTTTGCCTGACACCACTAGGTGGACTGAGGCGATGGATAACCATAGCTAATCTTTCTGATCACCTTCATTTCCAGAGAGATCTAGAGCAGGTGGGCTCTCTGATTGGAAGAGAGATCAGTAGTAGCTGAAGAGTCAGAAATATATCAGTTTAGGGGTCATTTTGAGTTATCTTTATGTGAGTTGTGCAGTCCCTCTTCCCTCCCTCTTTCAATAAACTGCATTCTGCATTCTGCTGAGGCAAAGGACCCTTGTCTCTTGCCTCTGTTTTTTGATTCACAAGCCCCTCGCTTGGTGAACGGGTGGTGGTAGCACAGGCACTATCATGGAGTTGTGGATTTTACTTAAGTACAAAAGTCACATTATGTCAATGTGTGTACCAGTTTGTCTTCATAATGCTATTATGAATTTTGCGTTTTCCCACATGGCACAAAGCTTTGGATTCAGCTTTCCTCTTATAATTTGTTGTGAATTTTCGTGGATTATATTGAATTTGTGTTGTAAATTGAACATACTCAACATTACCTTCTTGTTGTTGAAAATACATAATTTTAATTGTGTTGCTTGCAAAAGTATAAAAGGGTAAATTATGCTATACTGTACAATCATTTTCAGCAAACTAATAGGAAATGTGTGACTCTGAAGCTGATTTAAAATAATGTACAAAGACATTGAAAGAGGACTGCAGTATAGTTTAGTGACAGAGAAAACAATGTTCACATAAAAGATATCGCAGTAAGTGTAATACAATTGAGGAAGTAAAAAGTAGTAAAACATGCTCCAGAATTTCACAATGAACTGAATGTGACATGGGATTATGTCAATGTGTGTACTAGTTTGTCTTAATCCTATTCAGAATTTTGAACTTTTTCCCCCTGGTGCCACTGGGCCCGCAGGTCTGTGGAGCCGCGGTCCCGGGTTGCTGTTCTGTAGAATGGGGTTTGTGAAAGTTGTCAAGAATAAGGCTTACTTTAAGAGATACCAAGTGAGATTTAGAAGGCGGTGAGAGGGTAAACCTGACTACTATGCTCAGAAACGGATGGTGATCCAAGACAAAAATAAGTACAACACACCCAAATACAAGATGATAGTTCATGTAACTAACAGAAATATCATCTGCCAGATTGCCTATGCCCGTTTAGAAGGGGACATGATCGTGTGCACAGCATATGCACACGAGCTGCGCAAGTCCGGTGTGAAAGTCGGCCTGACAGATTATGCTGCCGCCTATAGCACTGGCCTGCTGCTGGCCTGCAGGCTTCTCAGTAGGTTTGACATGAACAAGATCTGTGTAGGGCAAGTGGAGGTGACTGGAGATGGATACAATGTGGAAAGCATTGATGGTCAGCCTGGTGCCTTCACTAGCTGGTTGGATGCAGGTCTTGCCCGAACTACAACTGCCAATAAAGTTCTTGGGGCCCTAAGGGAGCTGTGGATGGAGGCTTGTCTATTTCTCATAGTACCAAACGATTCTCTGGTTATGATTCTGAAAGCAAGGAGTTTAACACAGAGGTACACCGTAAGCACGTCATGGGTCAGAATGTGACAGACTACATGTGCTCCCTGATGGAGGAAGATGAAGATGCTTATAAGAAACAGTTCTCTCAGTACCTCAAGAACAATGTGACTCCAGACGTGCAGGAGATGTATAAGAAAGCTCATGCTGCTATCTGAGAGAATCCAGTCTATGAGAAGAAGCCCAAGAGAGAAGTGAAGAAGAAGAGGTGGAACCGACCCAAAATGTCTCTTCCCCAGAAGAGTGATCGGGTTGCTCAAAAGAAGGCAAGCTTCCTCAGAGCTCAGAAAAGGGCTGCTGAGAGCTAAAGCAATTTTCTATGAAGATTTTTTCATAAAGATAATAAACTTATTGACTAAGCAGCCATTTCTGTGTTGGTTAAGCTGTTATTATGAAACCGTAGGGGATAGCATGAAGGCATGAAAGCCAAGGAGTGGAGCTCAGATCCACTTGCCTTTGCTGGGATTAAGGGCAAGTAACACCACACCTGGCTGAGAAGTTTTTCCTCCCACAAAACAAGCTTAGCCCCATCCCGTCCTGTCCTGTCCCGTCCCGTCCCCCCACCCCCCGCCCCTAGAAAAAGCCATCTTACATGACAGAGCTCTTGGGTTTCTAGTCTTCCTGGAAGGAGTCACTATCATTTAGGTTGTCAAATCTGGTAAGCAACAGACCCATGACAATGCAGTTGAATGACAATGAAGTTCACAGACTTAACAATTTGAGCCAAAAGGGTTGGGGCTTTTCTAGCTTTCATTTTACACAGCTGTTGAAAGGTATGTGTCAGACCTGAATATACATAGGAAAATAAACTGGAAGGGTCAAATACTAAACCTTGAATTTACAAGGAAAAGAACTAAGTGATACAATTTATGCCTTTTAAGAAATAGCTCTTCATCCCACAAGAAGTAAAAATTGTCTTCTGTGATTTATACCAGTCTGGATTTATCTGTATGTCAGCTGAGGTGGTTCAGGGTTTGATCACCTCTGGTCTTAAAATGTCAGGCTCTGCTTTGTGGAACTTGGCACTTCATGAAAACAGTCACTACACCCCAGCCTAAGATGTGTGTGGGTTGGTTGATTTCTAAGATGATACCATCGGATCTAATTTCAGTCACAGTGGTAACTGCATGTTAACATGTGGAATACATGGTGAAGCTAAGTCATTCCAGCCGCTTCCTCCATCTGAAGTTAAAATGTGTAAGTATAATACAATAAACCATGCTATAAACCCAACCTTTTAATAAAAGGAGTCATTTAAAAAAAAGAATTTTGAGTTTTTCCACATGGCACATAGCTTTGGATTCAGCTTTCCTGTCATAATTTTTTGTGAATTTTCTGTGGATTATATTGAATTTGTGTTGTAAATCAAACATGCTTAACATCATCTTCTTGTTGTTGAAAATACATAATTTTAATAGTGTTATTTCAAAAGTATAAAAGGGTAAATTATACTATTCTCTATAATCACTTTTAGCAAATATAGGAAATGTGTGAAACTGATTTGAAATAATGTACAGAGACATACAAAGAAGATGTCAGTATAGTTTAGTGACAGAATACATTGTGTTCACATGAAAGATATCGCATTAAGTGTAATATAATTATGGAAGCAAAAATAGTAAAACATGATCCAGAATTTCACAATGAACTGAATGTGACATGGGATTGTGTAATGGTGTGCAAAATAATCTCTGATAGCAGTAGGTTGGGATTTTCCATAGATATCAACTAAAATTAGTTGAAAGCATGTTGCATTGGAATCGTTGTTATAAAATTGCACTTATTTAGTGTGAGTGTAGTGATGCATTTGGACACAGTACCTACACCTGAGCAACCCTGTTACACCAAATAAGAGTAAACCATGTTCTTCAGACGTTCTCTTTAGTGACATTAGTAGACTATCTGAAGGTAAGTGATATAAAATCAGTGGTTAATTTTAGTGTACTGAAAATAACATGTCTTCAGCTGTATGACTAATAGTACTTAAAATAATAGCAAATTTCTTATACTAAAAAGTACCAAATTTTGTCAGGCAATGGTGATGCATACATGAAATCCCAGCACTTAGGAGGCAGAGACACGTGGATCTCTGAGTTTGAGGACAGCCTTGTCTACAGACCTAGTTCCAGGGCTCCACAATGGAAATCCTGTCTTGGAATACTGAAAAAAAAAAAAAGGAAAAAATTGCTGTTAATTATACAACGTGCATAAGACTCTTCACATAGTAAATTACAAGCAATGAATATAAGCAAGTATATATTAAGGTTTTCTACAGACATTTCCTGAGAGAATTTATCAAAACTGATGTAAGTAATAATAATGAAAAGAAAAGGCCTTGGAAAACAATACCCTGACTTCATATAATTTATTAAGTGTTATAAATATATATAACTCTTAACTTCATGGAAACTGCATAAAGGTAAGATTTCATGTACATAAGTGAGTAAAGAGCTTGTGGGTAAACTTAAGCAGAACAAAATGAAATTTCAAAGCAACGTGTTCATCCAAGCTTTTATTCTATTGCTTAAATTCTATACAAATTTAAGGGGAAAGTGGACAAGAAGGTAACAGGACAAAGCACATTTTATACTTACATAAAAGCATCATAATGAAATCCATGTTGTACATAATTAATGTATACCAACAGACACACTTTTTAAAAAAAAAAAAAAAACTTTCAATGGCTCGTGAGGTTGACCTCATGCCTCAGCACACATGGAAGGGCACTCCATGTTTTGGTGCTGGAAGTGAGGCAAGATCTTAGAGATATTTATCACGACCTTGTTCTACCTCTATAACACACCTCTGGTTTCTAAACGTCCTTCCCTATAGTATTGGCTGATCAGGAAAGGGTCAGGAAAAGCTGATGCACTATTGTATGGTGAGGAATCGAACACCCACAGCAGCTTTTGCTTACACTCCTGTGTGTGTGTGTGTGTGTGAAAGGGTCAGGAAAAGCTGATGCACTATTGTATGGTGAGGAATCGAACACCCACAGCAGCTTTTGCTTACACTCCTGTGTGTGTGTGTGTGTGTGTGTGTGTGTGTGTGTGTGTGTGTTTCCCTTGTTGATCTGTGCTGTGATAACTGGAGTGATGCAAGAAGTAGAAACAATGAGCACACAGGCAAGGACCAAGACTGTGTGCAGTGCACTGCTTTATTAGATCAGTGCTACTCGCTGCCATGACTTCTTTACTCCCTGAGTGAGTCCTCCAACAGAGGACTTCCAGAGCTTTCAGTGAGGCTAACTGGTTTGAGGAGACTCCAGGTGCCCATTGCAGCAGCGAGAAGATTTTAAGGAAAGTTTTTCTGACAGAGGGAGCCCTTCTTCATCCTCATAGGACCTGGAAAACATTTGCTGACATCCTTCTCCACAGGGAACCCTCTCCTGTGCATTTGACCTCCCTCTGCCCCTTGCCAGCTCTGCCCCTGCCCTCTGATCACCTTTATCAACTTCTGTCTTCACAGTGGACAGCATCCTCTCAACACAGGCCTTTGGGGCTAATATGACTAACCAGGAGGATGCTGGTAGGTTTCCAAACCCCTGGATGTTCACAGCTGCAGGCCTATAACAAGGAATAGCTATTTTTTTTATTTAATGTCATTTCTTTAACAAGACTTAAAAGAATAGGTAAAATGATTGTTACCCCTAAAGCAATTTGTTGTATCTCTAGTTCTTATAATCATGGGTCTCTTGAAAACCTGACTAAATTGTCAGGGACCAAACATGAACCATGGAAAAGTACAAGCTAGGCCAGAGAACAAGCCACAGGCCCTAAACCAGGTGCCCTCAAAGATAAAGAACATCCCAAGGTCAGGTAGCATAGCAACAGAACAATGGGCCCTGACCAGTGACCTGATCACCTAGGACAACATCCTGCAGCCTCACAACCTGCACGTCCCCCCTTAGCTACACATCTGGCACATCCTGCACCCCTTCCCTCCTTCCTGCCCCCTGCCCCTCCGATGCTATATAAGATTTGCTGAGGAGAATAAAATTTGCAGCTTGATCAGAACCCTGTCTTGCTGTCGTCCTTCATGTCTCTCCATCCCTTCCATCCTCTCCTACAGGTGGGTCACCCCCATTGACACCCCACTGGCCAGGGCACTAAATCACTAGGTGCTTACAGAGCATGGCCACCAACCAAGCAGGAGAATAAGGATTCAGAGCTATTTTGGCATGGAGTAATGACACCAAGGTGTGAAATGTCTGTGAAGCAGTCACTGCTCAATATTGCTAGCCCATTTAGTATTTTCTCTTTCGTGTTAGTGTAGCCCCTCCCCCCAAAACCAAACATACATTTTATTTTTCCTATATTCAGTTTGACTTTAACAACTTTCTAAAAATGCAAACACTGATCAGCACAGCAAACCTGCCTTCTGAACACCACATATTGCCCAGGTAACATATCATAGGCATTCATGACCACAAGCACTACTGGTCCTCTAGAAACAAATCAGAGAGAAGCTACCTGATGGCCGTGGAAGTGTGCATGATGTCTTGGATCAGAGGCACATCCACAGTGATGATCATGGAGGCTACTCCTGTAAAGTAGAAAGTCTTCAGGGCCATCTCAGTGCCTGGCTCACCAAGACTCTGCACAAAGGGCACCCACTGCAGAACCTGACTCCATCTGTGTCCTAGAAGAAAGGGCACAGAAAAGGATATGATGCACCAAGGAAAAGTCCATCAGAAATGCTAGGAACAGACTTCAGGTTATTGCCTCTTAAAAGGAAATATATAGATCTTGTTGGGTTTACGATGGATATAGCAATGGCCCAGGCATTTGTGTCAGAGGAAGAGGCTGGCACAGTCAAGAACAAGAAGAGTGAGATGGTCAGTGTGACTAAATTCTGTGTGGTCAGCTTGTGTGTACTGGGTGGGTGTCCACTGTTTGGTGTCGTTCACAGTAGTCTGTTCTTGCTGTGTACTGAAGGTGACCAGAGACCTGGAATCTGCCATACATAACAAGAGTTTCCTTATGGGCAGAAGATGTTCAGGACATTATTTTGCAGGTCTTTCCATGCAGAAGTCTACAGTGCAGTTGGAGACTCCAGAGTCAAGGCACAAATCTGCTCTAAGCCTGGAAACGATGCTGGGGCAGTGTGCTTGTTAGATTTTATTATCAGATTGAGCCAGACTAGAGTCAGCTGGGAAGAGGGACTCAAAATGAGGAACCATTTTGATCAAGTTGACTCTGGGCATGGCTGTGGGTTTTATAGATTGTTAACTGAGATGGACAGAATCATTTAATTGGCTGGGACCTGAACTCTTTATCAGTGGAAAAACCTGGTACACAAGAAGAGTCAAGCAGGGAGCATGGGAGCCTTCGAATCTCTGCTCTTGACAATGGATGTGATGTGACTAGCTGACTGAGTTTCTGCCTTGATTTCCCCAAGATGGACTATAACCTGGAAATGTGCATTAAAATCAATTCTTCCCCTCGTACGATGCTGGCCCTGGGGCCTGGATGTAATGAAGATGCTAAGACCCCGCTCTGTGACACTGGGGTTGTCACAAAGCAGGGAGACGTGAGTTATGAATACCATGCGCAGCAGCAGCACATCAGTCCCAGAGCGGGAGCTCCTGCTTCCTTCTGAGCCCAAACCCGTGTGCCCCATCACTATATTACAGAGATACAGACACCCATGGACCCACACAGCATGTCATCCTGCCCACAAGTCCCTCTTCATGCTGTCTTGCCATAACAAGTGCTATCCCAATTTCCTCTATCTATTCCCAATTTCCTCTAATCTATTAAATAAAACAAGCTTCACTTTACTGGCAATTATTTCTCTATGGATTTACTGACTCTAAGAATTTTGAAATATGGGGATTTGGAATCACAGCCCTAAAGATGAATCTCCACCTTATGGTGTATTCTTCCTTGGAGGTCAGGAGATACTCCTTAAAGGTCAAACCAGGCAAGCACTTTACCTGCCAGATATGGCGGGTGGACATAATAAGTGGCAATGTGTCCACTAGTCTCTTTAGGTCTAGGCTGCCCTCTAAGTTCTGTGCTTCTTCAGAAAGACTTTTGGAAACTGATCTTTAACATATTTCTTCCTTAAAGAATATATATAGAAGCAATTAGAATGGAAAAGTCATGTAATGAAGTCCTTATCATTGTAGCTGCTGGTGCCGGTCCTTTATGAACAATGTCAAAGGGCTAATCATGGAGATTACCAGCTTTGCCTAGGACTTCTAGCAACCACATTTACAGGGATGGGGTGTAGGTCTGAGGAACAGAGTTTCAAAGCCACAAGTCTGAGGGAGATAGCAGTGGCACCCCGCTGATTCTCTACTATGTGGCTGGCTGGTGTTTAGCCTTTCTGTATGTCAGTTTCCTGCAGCTAGAGGAAGTAGGGTAGAGACAGTGCCTGAAGATGACAGCCTCCACCAAGGACACTAAAATCTTTCCACAAGATTTGTGGCTTTTATCAGCCACAGTAAACGGTCTCTTCAATCTGAGGTCTACAGGTTGCTAAGGACATTTTGTTTGTTTTTCCCCAGGTTTCTTCACCCTCTCTCCTTTTACACACATTTTTATTCATTTTGTTCTGTCTATTAATTCACTTTGAACAAAGGTAGGACCTACCCAAGACACTTGTGTTGTTTCCAGGCTCTGGATGTGTTAAATAAAGCAACTGGCAATAAATCAACACCCTTGGCATTCCATCTTGCCTAAGAATTTTAACCCTGCATGGCAGTCTTCTCTCTGGAAAAGCAGTAATGATAGATTTTCCCTTCCCAATGACTGGAGCCTGGGCACCTGGGGCTCCAGTATTTGTGTGTCTCTCAGCACCTGCCTCCTGGACATAGCCAAGCTGGGGTGTGGTAGACAGACCGGTAGAGGATGATAAAGAAGAGAAGGTGGCGGTGGACTTGGGATAGCAGCCTCAAGTGATCTACAGGCTCTCCCACTCTGCCTCTGAGCACAGCTTCTGCCCACACTTCGCTCACTGTTGAGGAAAAGTCGCTGGGCTCCCAATGGGTGGAGCTTCTACAGCCATCAGCCTTCCCAACTGAGGCCTCTGCCTACTGCCTCTCGACTCACTGTCCAGCGTTCTGGCTGGAGTCTAAGGCTATTGGCCTAAAGCATAGAGCTCAGCGGTATGGACCTGATCCTACACCTGACCCTGATCTGTCCTTGACCCACTCCCACACCTGCCCCAACCACAGCCCCTGGTTCCCGGAAGCTCTTGTGTCTTTTGGTGAAGGAGCAGGTGGTGAGAGAGGAGTTAGGCCAGGCCCCAAGCTATTTGAAGGCACAACCATTATACCTGTTCACCTCCTGCCCCTAATCTAGGGTCTCCTGGGAACTCCAAAATAAACTGTTGACACATGGAAATTCCCTACACCCGACTTTAGACATCTCCAATTAAAAATCTCTATGGAATCAATCCCCATTCTGAGAATTTCTCACATTGAAAATCTTCCATTTAAATCCCCCATTCTGCCTAACACTTAATAGTATCCTGCTCAGCTGTATTCTCTGGAGCTCCAGAGTCAAAAGCAGTCTTTAAGTTCTCTGTAAACAGAGCTGAGAGTATCTGGCATGGAAACTACACTGCTGTGAGCACACTGGCCTGGGCAGAAACTAGTATCAGCTATAAACGACCCGAGCCTTGTCATGAGGCCAGGCGTTTTAGCAAACTCCCAGTGTGAGAATTATACCACAGAAAGATATTAGAGAACAGAACCCGCTTCCTCTTAATGACCTGGAAACAATGGGGGAATAGGAACAAATAAGAGATAGAACAGTGGTGCATTTAAAGAAAAGCAAATTTGAAAGTTTTGTTGAAAGCATTTATTCCTGTAACACAGCTCTGCTCCCCTCCACTCTGTCTGTTACCACTTTGCAATATTCTTCTAATACTTTGCCAGCAGAGGTGTGCATTGCTTCTCTTCTCGGTTCCCTTAGGGAGTTTCCCGGCACAGATGATGGTTTCTTCTCAGCTCTGGCCCAAATTGTTACTTCTCTGCTTTACACAACAAAGGGGAACCCCCTTGCAGAAATGTAACAGTCTGAAGCAGCTTTAGCAAGAAGTTGTTACTTTTGCTCTGCTCCCCTTTGGGAGTTTCCTTGCAGAGGGTTCTACTGCTTCTCTGCCCGGATCCACTAGGGAGTTTCCCAGTAGAGACTAAACTCCATGATGGCGAAAGAAGGTCCTCACCCAAAACTGATTCAAGGTGTAGCAGGAATCTTAAAAGTTCTTATTAATAAAATCAAACCCAGGGCCAGTTATTGGGGTGAACACTGGAAGATCAGAGAGACAGAACAAGCCACAGCTATCTCACCTTGCCAATTCCTCACCTGGTCCTGTTTCCTCAGACTGGAAGCCTCTGAATCTTCATCCAGAATGAACCTCACCTCAACTGTGCTGCTCCAAAGCCTGAAAGCTTAACCAGCCAAATGCTAATAGTTCCTGGTCCTCACGCCTTATATTATCTTTCTGCCTTCTACCATCACTCCCTGGGATTAAAGGCCAGCTTTCTGGGATTAAAGGCATGTGTCACCATGCCTGGCTGCTTCCAATGTGGCCTTGAACTCACAGAGATCCAGAGGGATTTCTGTCTCTGGAATGCTAGGATTAAAGGCATGTGGTACCACTGCCTAACTTCTTTATTTAATATTGTGGCTGTTGTGTCTCTGACCCCAGATAAGTTTATTAGGGTTCACAATATTTGGGGGAACACAATACCACCACATCAAGGTATTTATGGGGGGGGGGCATGGTGGTGTAGGGAATCTAGGAGAGTGGCTGAAAAAAAAAAAAGGCAGCTGCCAAAGAACATGCACATGGCTGTGGGGCTTCTTAGGGGTGCAGTTTTTCCACTGAAAAGACTTTCAGGGTGGGAATTGGTCTCATTTCAAACTCTGAGTTTGGAAAATCTTAGAGATTGGCTGGATTTCATGTTAGGGATTGGCTGACTTTCCTGCTCAAGGATTGGTTGGTTTCATGCTACTCATGTGTTTTTCTTTGACTCTGGTTTCAGGACCAAAGTGTGTGTTTCACTGGCTCCGGTATCAGCATCAGGGTCTGTTTCTTTGGCTGGCCCTTTTACCCTAAATATAGGGCTTCATAAATTCACAAATTTATTTTTTCCATGAGTTTGCAGGTGCAGACAATATTAAAGTTGACATCATAAAGCTTGAACAGATTGACACTGTCATTTTTTTCTACAAAATATTGTTGTATAACTGAATGTAAGTGTGTTGACTAAACATCTAAACAAATACTTTATATTAAGGAGCCCTCAGTATTTTTCTCAGGTCCCCTAATACTATTGTAATAATCAAAGGCTTTAATGCATTGATTGCATACAAAAAGTTTATTTCTGTATAGAGTGCTTTGCAACACTGTCTACATTTATAAGGTTTCTTTGCAGTATGATGTTTTCAAATGTCTTTGAAGACTACTAGCATAGACAAAGGCTTTACCAAACTGATTACATTCATATGGTTTCTCTCAAGTATGGGTTCTTCTGTGTGCTTGGAGCCTACTCTGTCTAGAGAAGGCTTTGCCACATAGATTACATTCATAGGGTTTCTCTCCAGTATGTGTTCTTTCATGCATTTGAAGAGACTGCTGATATCCAAATGCTTTACCACATTGACTACAGTTATAGGGTTTCTCTCCAGTATGGGTTCTTTTATGCATTTGAAGAGAACCCTGTCGTGTAAAGGCTTTACCACA